ATAACAGGCTTGAGCCACCGCGCCCAGCTGGCAACTTCTTAAAAACTAAACAAGCACCAAACGTGTAGCCCAAGAATTGCACTCCTGAATATTTCTCATAGAGATACAAAATACATGCCCACACAAAAACTGTACATAATTATTCCTCGCAGCTTTATATGTAATAGTCAAAACAAAAAGCAAACAAAATATCTTTTAATGGGTGCATGGTAAAACAAACTGTGGCACAAGCGTATCATGGAATACTATTCAGCAAGGAAAAAGAACGAATCATTGAAACACACAGCAACTTGGATGAATATCAAGGGCATTCTGCTGAGTGAAAAAGCAAAATCTTAAAAAAGTTCACGTTTGTAAAAGTTGTCAGAATCAAAATGGAGTAACTTGTGTCAAAACCCTGACAAATGGGCCGGGCATGGTGACTCACGCCTGTAATCCCAGCACTTTGGGAGGCCGAGGCAGGCAGATCACATGAGGCCAGGAGTTCAAGACCAGCCTGGCTAACATGGCAAAATCTCGTCTCTACTATAGCCAGGCATGGTGGCGGCTGCCTGTGATCCCAGCTACTCAGGAGGCTGAGGCACGAAAATCGCTTGAACCCAGGAGGCGGAGGTTGCAGCGAGCGGAGATCACACCACTGAACTCCAGCCTGAACGACACACGGAGATTCTGTCTCAAAATTTTTTAAAAAAACTCTGACAAACGGAGCCAGGGAAGGCCATGAAGAGGGTTTCTTATGCGTGCATGCCTGATAAAAACAACTATCACAAGACTGCAGAAACCACAACCTTGCACAAAGGCTACTGTGTCTTACACAAAAAAATACTTCTGCGGGTATTGATCTTTGTAGCAAAGGATCATTGTTTCAAAATAACTTACATAATCCTCCTCAGTTTTTCTTTTTTCTTTTTTTGAGACAGAGTCTTGCTCTGTCACCCAGGCTGGAGTGTAGGACGTGATATCGGCTCACTGAAACTTCTGCCTCCCAGGTTCAAGCAATTCTCGTGCCTCAGCCTCCTGAGTACCTGGGATTACAGGCACATGCCACCACACTGGGCTAACTTTTTGTATTTTTAGTTGAGATGGGGTATCACCATGTTGGCCAGGCTGGTCTCGAACTCCTGACCTCAGGTGGTCCACCCACCTCGGCTTCCCAAAGTGCTGGGATTACAGGCATGAGCCGCTGCGCCCGGCCCATCATTTTTTCTTTTAAAAACTCTTGTCACCTTTACCTCCCTGAATACACCCATCATATTCCCACTGCAATGCTACTCCTGAAAAAAATACCATAATCTTTTAGAGAGCCTCTTTCTCTGTCTGTGATTTAGCTTGACACGTGCTGTATGATTCTATTCACACAATATTCCTTAAATAACAAAAGTATAGAGATGGAAGACAGATAAGTGGTTGCCAGGGGATGGTGGGGAGAGGGAGAGCACCTGACTAGAAAGGAGTAGTGGGAGAAGATCTTGGCGGTGATGGAAAGTTCTGATTTTATTGTGTTGGTTGTTATACGATTTCACATGTGTGACAAAGGGACAAAGTACACACACACACCATGCCAACGTCAATTTCCTGCTTTGCCATTGCACTGGAGGATGGAACCCAGAAATGGCATGAGAGATGTACCTGTCTTGGCAAATTCCTGTGAATCTATAATTATGTCAAAATCAAAATTTCTTTTAAATGACTAAAAACTTTTTTTTTTGAGACAGAGTTTCGCTCTTGTTGCCCAGGCTGGAGTGCAGTGGCGCAATCTCCATTCACTGCAACCTCCGCCTCCCAGGTTCAAGCGATTCTCCTGTCTCAGCCTCCCGAGTAGCTGGCGGGATTACAGGCACCCACCACCACGCCTGGCTAATTTTTTGTATTTTTAGTAGAGAGGGGGTTTCACCATGGCCAGGCTGGTATTGAACTCCTGACCTCAGGTGATCTGCCTGCCTCGGCCCCCCCAGAGTGCTGGGATTACAGGTGTGAGCCACCGCGCCCGGCCAGAAGGAAGACTTCCCTGACTGGGAATCGAACCCAGATTGCGACGGTGAACGCCGAATCCTAACCACTGGACCACCAGGGAGTGTCCTAAAAACTTTTAAAAAATGGATTACGGTTCCACTGAAACTCACTAATTACTCATAAATACTTTTGAAAAGCATTTTCTAAAGAACTTTGTTGCAGTCTGGGGTGTGGATGGAACTTTGTTGCAGAGGTAGTCCTTTAAATCAGGATTAAGTCCAGCACTTTGGGAAACCGAGGTGGGAGGACCACTTGAGCCCAGGAGTTTAAGACTGGCCTGGACAACATAGCGAGACCCCGTCTCCACAAAAAAAATTAAAAATCAATTAAAAATTAGCTCTGCGTTGTAGCAGGCACCTATAGTCCCAGCTATTTAGTAGGCCGAGGCAGGAGATTGCTTGAGCTCTGGAGTCCGAGGCTGCAGTGAGCTGTGATCACACCACTGCACTTCAGCCTGGGTGACACAGTAGACCCTGTCTCAAAAAAACAAAAGACAAAACCGAAATCAGGCTTAAGTGAGAGCATAGAGGTTTAAATTGGAGGTGTAGACCTCAAAAAGAGAATGAAAGAGCAAACCACAGACTAGGAAAAGATATTTGCAGCTCATGAACAGCAGACTAAAAACTTCCTATACGTAAGAAGAGGACAGACAATCCTATGAGAAAATACTCAAAAGACTTGATCAGGCCCTTCACTAAAGAGGAAATAGCCAAAATAACATGAAAAGGCATCTAACCTCACTAGCAACCAGGAAGTGTAAGTTAAAACCACAATGAGATACGACTATCCGCCCACCATATCGATAAAAATAGTCCAATGATGCCAAGAGTTATCAGGGGATGTGGAGTAAAAAGAACATCATTACTACCAGGGCAGTGTAAATGGGGTCCAATCATTTTGGAAAACAGTTTGGCATATTCAAGACCAAGACACACGTTCCTTGTAGCTCAGCAATGTTATTCCTAGGTTTAAAAACACAACCAAACCAGAAACACGTGTTTACATGTGCTGAGATACACGGACAAAAATATTCAAATGTCATTGCATGTAATAACCCCAAGCTGGAAGTGATCCCGCTGTCCATCAATATTAGAATGAGTAAACAACAATGTCATCATTCAATAAAAGAGTGTGCAACAATGGAAATCAACTAAAGATGAACTCAACGTGGATGAATCTTCATGATACAACGTTGAAAGAAGGAGCAAGATACAGAAAACACAGTGTGATTCTATTGTATGAAGTTCACAGCAGCCTGATAAAACTGTGTTGTTGGGTAGCAAAACTATAGCAAAAGGAAGTTAATACCATACAAGTCTAGATGTGGTTAGCACTAGTAGGCAAGGAAGGCTGTGATCTAGAAAGGGCAGCCCAGGGCTTCAGGAATGGGTTACGTTCCAGTTCTTGATCCTGGTAGAGTTATTTGGATGTTCGTTTATGACAATTTGTTAAACTTTGCATTTATGCATTTTTCTATATAGGTCACAATGTAAAAAAGTTCTATATTGCTTTAAAAAGAGGCTTTAAATAAATTAGCATAATTTATTAGATAAGACTTTACTGGCCGAGCGCAGTGGCTCTCGCCTGTAATCCCAGCACTTTGGGAGGCCGAGGCGGGCGGATCACCTGAGGTCGGGAGTTCAAGACCAGCCTGACCAACATGGAGAAACCCCGTCTCTACTAAAAATACAAAATTAGCTGGGCATGGTGGTGCATGCCTGTAATCCCAGCTACTAGGAAGGCTGAAGCAGGAGAATCGCTTGAACCCGGGAGGAGGAGGTTGCAGTGAATGGAGGTTGCGGTAAGCCGAGATTGCGCCATTGCACTCCAGCCTGGGCAACAAGGGCAAAACTCCGTCTCCAAAAAAAAAAAAGGAAAAGGAAAAAAAAAACTTTACTAATGCTGTTCCTGCACATATATTTTTAACAACCTACAAATAGACACATTCTGGTCTTACATGGTGTTTTGGGTTAAAATTTTGCTCTCAAAAAGCTCCTTCTATTATATCCCTCTTATTAAGTCTTATTAAGCCTGTTATGTCTTGTTCTATCCTTCACGAAGACAAAAAACAGGTTGCCTTCCATCTATACACTTTTTCAAATAAATATCAATGGCTTTTGTCTAGTGGGTGCTGACTCTGTGCCAGGTACTTGCTGAGTACCTTATAGAAATAATACCTTGTTGAACAAATGAATGAATGAAATTCATTATTGAAATTTTTCATGTAATCCATACTGGTGCTGTAATACTCCATTTGTTAAACCCCCTTCAAACTCCCTCTTTGTTCTCTCTGCCTTCCTCAAACACGGGTCTAAACTCATTTTAAACCAGTTTATCAACCAGAGGGACATGGGGACATGGGGGGAGCATGGTTTTCTGATTCTTATTTGCCAGTGTCCTCCATACGCACATACACACACACACACGTACACACACAAGGCACGCACATGCACACACATGCACGCACACATACACACACACACACACAGAGGCACGCACAGACGCACGCACACACACAAGGCACGCACACGCACACACATGCACGCACACATACACACACGCACACACAGGCACTCACACACGTACGCGCGCACACACACATACACACACACAATAATCCAAGGCTGCAGCATATTTAAATCTGACATTTTTCTAGAACCGAGGTGTGCTCTTCTATACGCAAGCTTTCTCCACCTCAGCACTGTTGACATTTAGGCAGCATCATTCTTTGCTGGGAGGCTGTCCCGTGCATGGTAGGAGTTTAGCAGCATCACTGGCCTCTACTCACTAGATGCCAATCACCACCTAATCACCCTAATCACCACCACCACCGCCACCAAATACTCCCGGGGACAAAATTGCCCCTGCTTGATAACCACCGGGCTATATGAACCTCATTTCTAGAATTTTTTAAAGAATCATCTTTTCCTTTCTATTATAAAAAGCCTTGCTTTGCCAGAGCTCTAATATGATTACATTAATCTTACGTTGTTTGAATATATACAGGAGTTTCTTTCTGCTCCGTTTAACAACAGAGAAACGGAGCACGAGGAAGAACAGCAGGAAGAGTACCACAGTCGAAGTCAGCGCAAGAAAGAAGATGATCTGCGGAGAGTGTCCTGCAAAACACAGCAAAAGGAGAAACGCATGCAGAAATGTATGGACACTCATACACCCATGTGTATATTTACACTGGTAAACTCCTAAGCATGAGAAGAATCAGAGCCTTGGGCATCTCCAACCTGCTAATGGAGTAAACTTGGAAAACTTTTAAAAAGGCAAGACATGGTGGCTCATGCCTGTAATCCCGATACTTTGGAAGGCCGAGGCAGGAGGATCACTTACAGTCAGGATTTCAAGACCAGCCTGGCCAACACAGTGGTGGCAGGCACTTGTAATCCCAGCTACTTGGGAGGCTGAGGCAGGAAAACCGCTTGAACCCGGGAGGCGGAGTTTGTGGTGAGCTGAGATGGTGCCCCCACACTCCAACCTGGGCAACAGAGCGAGACTCCATCTCAAAAAAAAAAAGAAAAGAAAAGAAAAGAAAAAAAGAAACTGAATGGCTGGGCGGTGGCTCATGCCTGCAATCCCAGCACTTTGGGAAGCCAAGGTGAGCAGATCAACTGAGGTCAAGAGTTTGAAACCAGCTTGGCCAACATGGAGAAACTCCATCTCTACCAAAAATACAAAACTTAGGTGGGCACCATGGTGGGCGCCTGTAATCCCAGCTACTCAGGAGGCTGAGGCAGAAGAATCGCTTGAACCTGGGAAGCGGAGGTTGTGGTGAGCCAAGATCGCGCCATTGCACTCCAGCCTGGGTGACACAGACTCCGTCTCAAAAAAAAAAAAAAAAAAAAAAAGAAAGAAACTTAATAGTTTTCCTAGAGGCCACAAAAATTAAGCAGTTTGTCCTTTCTAGCACATAGAAAATATGGGACCCAGGGGCCGGACGCGGCAGCTCATGCCTGTAATCCCAACACTTTGGGAGGCCAAGGCAGGAGGATTGCTTGAGCCCAGGAGTTTGAGAGCAGCCTGGGCAACATAGCAAGACCCCAACTCTACCAAAAAAAAAAAAAAAAACAAAAAACAAAAATTAGCCAGGTGTGGTGGTGCGTGCCTACAGTCCCAGCGATTGGGGAGGCTGAGGTGGGAGGATTGGTTGAGCACAGGAGGTGGAGGTTGCAGTGAGCCAAGATCATGCCACTGCACTCCAGCCTGGCACAGAGTAAGGAACTCTCTTAAAGAAAAGAAAAGAAAAGAAAAGAAAATATGGGACCTTATAATCCCCTTTCCTTGGCATTGATAAAGATATAGACTCTGTCTGGGTGAAGTGTCCTCTGGCACTGCTTACAAATGTGTATCTCAGACTGAATAACAAATGCCTGGGAAGGAACCTGCTGGGTCCCTGAGGGCAGGATTCAGGAAGGAATGCACGTGGGCGGTGCCTGTTGTAGGTGGAGATGTGAGACATCATGATATTGGGGCGATTTAGATACCATCTGGAATCGCCATAAGATATACACTTTGATTGAATGGCATAGCCCAGCTACCTGGCTCTCTCGCAGGGGCAGGCGGGGTCGCAGAGGATGCTCCTGGAGAGAGGTCGGCTGGAGATGGTCCGCAGACCACGTCCCTCTCCTTCGTCCCATTCACAAGCACAGACTTTCCATCCAAAGAACAGCTTAGACAGTTCAATGAAAAGAGTTTAAATAATTAACTTAGGTCCAGACGATTCTGATTTAAAACTTTGTCAGTTTTTACCCAATGAAGTAGCCTAGTGAAAAAGATATATGGGTCTGGGTTCGAAGGCGATGCAAAGATATTTTGAGAAACTTCCACTTGACTATCTGGCTCCCTGCAGCTTTCCATGGCTTCCTTCTGTTCGGTGACAGCTTAGTTCAGGCTGTTTTGCCTGGTTAGTCTCTCACCCCCAGTTTCTTAATCAGACTTGACCATCTCTGGCACGGATGAAGGCCAGCATAGGGTTAACAGGTCTGGCACTGGCATCAGGCAAACCGGGGTTTGAGCCCTGGGTCTGCTGCTTTCCAGAATGACCTTGGGCAAGTTAAGAAATCTCTGGGCCGGGCGCGGTGGCTCAAGCCTGTAATCCCAGCACTTTGGGAGGCCGAGATGGGCGGATCACTAGGTCAGGAGATCGAGACCATCCTGGCTAACACAGTGAAACCCCGTCTCTACTAAAAAATACAAAAAACTAGCCGGGCGAGGTGGCGGGCGCCTGTAGTCCCAGCTACTCAGGAGGCTGAGACAGGAGAATGGCCCGAACCCGGGAGGCGGAGCTTGCAGTGAGCTGAGATCCGGCCACTGCACTCCAGCCTGGGCGACAGAGCGAGACTCCGTCTCAAAAAAAAAAAAAAAAAAAAAAAAAGAAATCTCTGTAGCCCAGGCACGGTGGCTCACGCCTGCAATCCCAACACTTTGGTAGGCTGAGGCCAGAGGATCACTTGAGACCAGGCACTGGAGACCAGCCTGAGTCACATAGCAAGACCCCATCTCTACAAAAATTAAAAAACAAACCAAAAAAAATTAGCTGGTGGTGCATGCCTGTGGTCCCAGCTACTCAGGAGACTGAGGTGGGAGGACCACTTGAACCCAGGAGTTCCAGGCTGATCACTTGAACGCAGGAGTTTGATGCTGTCTCAGAAAGAAAAGAAAAGAAAAATGAAACCTCCCTAAGCCTCGGTTTTCTCATCTGCAAAATTAGGATTGTATGTGCTGCCAGAACTGTTTCAAAGAACAAACGAGCGAGAGTCAGTGACACACTCTTGCACGTCTGACACGCTGAGTAAATGGCAGCCATCATCATCATCATCACCATTACTGCCATCATTGTTGCTGTTCTTGTTACGCCTTTCCCTCGTCCCTTTACCGACCCCAAATCCACCCATCCTTCAGAGCCAGATTAAACCCACTCTTCCACGCAGACTCACTTAACAACTCTGAAAAATTTGTATTGAAAGACTTTTTTTTAAAAAGCCACTTTCCAGCCGGGCACGGTGGCTCATGCCTGGAATCCCAGCACTTTGGGAAGCCAAGGTGGGTGGATCACTTGAGGTCAGGAGTGCAAGACCAGCCTGGCTAACATAGTGAAACCCCATCTCTACTAAAAATACAAAAACATTAGCCAGGCGTGGTGGCGTGCACCTGTAATCCAAGCTGCTCCGGAGGCCGAGGCAGGAGAATTGCTTGAACCTGGAAGGTGGAGGTTGCAGTGAGGCGAGACGGCGCCATTGCCCTCCAGCCTGGGCAAGAAGAGTGAAACTCCATCTCAAAACAAACAAACAAACAAACAAACAAACAAAACAGACCTTTTTTAAAAAACCACTTTCCAAAGAGAGAATTCAGCTAAGTCCGAGAAAACAGTTAATACTTTTCTTGTGAATCACGATTCCATTTGTCAGCCACTCTGATGCTGATAAATTGTAAATAACAAAAGCAGAGGGATACCATGATTCCTGTTTTAAAACACTTTGTTTTCTCTCCAAAAAAGTCACTTTCCAGTCTGTTATAAACCAATACACTTTTGAAATACAACAAAAATGTCAAAGTAAAATAATAAAAATGATTTTCTAGTAAGAAAATCAAATGGAAAAAGAACAAATACATATAAAATACAACACCCAAATTTTTATTCTTAGTCAACAGACCACATTACTCTGCCAATTTGCCTTAAAAGTTTCTAAATGCTTACTCTCTAACCCTACACCGCTGTTGATGGGGGCACAGGACAAGCCATGTGTGGACCAGCACCTATCCACAGACCACAGTGTGAGTTCTGATTCCACAAAACAACAGTCACATTCTCTCGTATACTACTGGCTTTTTACCACCTGTGATGGCCTTGTGTGCCCAAGTGTGTGCCACATTTTGGAGGGTAACGAGCAATTAGTTACTTCTGTATCATTCTAGGGGCTGGCATTGAGCACATGGAGATGGGCTGATCAACAAGAGAGGATAACAGGCAGCAAAGGAATGAGAAGGAAACAGAGAAGAGGCAGACAGTGGCAAAGTTCCACTGGCAATTCTTTTCCTTTCTTTTGAGACAGGGTCTCTGCTCTGGAGTGCAATGGTGCGATCATACCTCATTGCAGCCGTAACCTCCCAGACTCAGGTGATCCTCCTGCCTCATCAGCCTTCTCTATAGCTGGGAAGGCTATAGGCATGTGCCATTATGCCTGGCAAATTTTTTGATTTTTTGTAGAGACGGGGTCTCACCCAGGCTGGTTTCGAACTCCTGGGCTCAAGCAGTCCTCCTGCCTCAGCCTCCCAAAGTGCTGGGATTACAGGCGTGAGCCACTGCACGTGCCCACCCTCCACTGGCAATTCTGATCTAAATGTTCCAGGCACTGTTTCTGGAGAAAATGCCCACTTTGCCTATTGAGTTGCTACAACCTCACAGTGTTCCCACACTGCCTATTAGTATGTTACATTCTGTCTACACTTGATGGGTGCAAAATAAGCTTCAATGATAGCATTCCTTATCTTCCAAAAAATTTAACCCAGATCCTTTATTCCATAAACTAAAGGAAATGATACCTACTTTGTCCAGGGTCGACAGATGCCACGTTTCTGGTCATTAAATGTCCCAAAGCAACAGTCTTTACAACCTTGCATTAAAAACGAAAGCAATAACAAAAAAGAAGCATTTTCATCATTTGGTAACTTTCCCTGTGATGAACTTAATAAAATCATTACCGTAATGCAATCTGCACAAATTATTCTATAATTCTTGAAACAATACCCTAAGATGGCTAGTTTTTATTCTAACTGTACATAAAGTATTGTCTATGTCTGAAATGTGTGAAGATGAATGGTTCTGGCAATTAACAAACTTTCTGATTTCAAATTACTTCCATTTATGAAGAAATAACGGAAATATTTTATTAATTAAAATATGACATATCATATACTCACTTGTTACTTTAAGGTTCTACAAATCTGTTTATTTTCAAAGGATCAAGACCTAAGCTAAGTTTGTCTACATCACAAAACTACTCTAGATCAAAGAAGCGCAAACGCAAACGTACCTTTTTTTGTCAATTCTTGACCTTGTTTACAATCCTGTTCACACATGCTGCATTCTGCCCCCAGGCAGTGATATCCTGAAATGCAGTCACACTCTGCATTGCTGGTGGAGGAACACTCCTTCCTGGTCTTGAAAACACCTACAAAGTACCCCCCAGCCCCCGTTTTATTACACTTGACCTCCAAATCCAGGAAGCAAATTTACGCTCTGCAGTAACAGTCATGCTCACTCAACTACAGTGTTCCCAGTGATTTTAAAGTTTACTTTTAAATCTCCGTAATGACATTTTTACATTTTGGTAAGTAAAAACTTCTCTCTTGTCAAATGAATGTTTCCTCTAATATTTAGAAAGCTCAGTCCACAAATAATTGCTGTCACCCGATATTATTTTACTGGACCTGCTGGTTGTCAGAAGAATCAGAGTCTTTGACACTTGAGATTTTCAAAAGACAGCAGTTAGTAAAGAGGAAAGAAAAGCTTATCTTCCCAACTATCTTCTAGAAGAAGAAAATATCTTTGAACTCATACCTTTACACTGCCTGCATATGTCACAGGTCCTTTGTCCACCTGCGCTGGAGAAACTATTTGGAGGACAGGGACTGCAAATCTGACTCCTGTTATTATCACAGAATGTACCTAAGAAAGGCAGACAATAATGGTACACATTTGACAATGGGCAATCGTCACCCAAGGCATTCTGAAGTTTACAAGAAAATAGGATTATAAAAGAATGATGAGTTTTCTAGATGCCACAGTGATAGACATTAGTTTGATTGACTTCCTAAAATGATACATTTGCAAGATTATTCTTTGTGTAATCACAGAATTAGAAATAACAAAATACAGGCTAGGTGCAATGGCTCACACCTGTAATCCCAGCGCTTTGGGAGGCCAAGGCGGGCAGATCAACTGAGGTCAGGAGTTCAAGACCAGCCTGGCCAACATGATGAAACCCTGTCTCTACTAAAAATACAAAAATTAGCCATGCGCAGTGGTGCACGTCTGTAATCCCAGCTACTTGGGAGGCTGAGGCAGGAGAATTGCTTGAACCTGGGAGGCCAAGGTTGCAATGAGCTGAGATCATGCCACTGCACTCCAGCCTGGGTGACAGAGTGAGACTCTGTCTCAAAACAAAAACAAACAAACAAAAAAAACAAAAACAGATATTGTAACAAATAAATCAGCAGAAAGAAAATACTTTATCTATTGAATAAAACACAATTATTATCTTGATTGATCTAGGAGATGAGTATGACTGGATCCAGGAGGACATCAATGTCCTACACTAAAATTTAAATGCGCCTGACTTTCCCCACTCTGTTAAGCCCTTTACCACCCACTTACTCGCTGCTCTGCCCCCAGTCTGAGCACAAAGTCCTACACACAAAACTAACATTTATTTACATTTTGGTAAGTAAAAACTTCTGTCTTGTCAAATGAATGTTTCTTCCAATATTTAGAAAGCTCAGTCCACAAATAATTGCCACAAATAAATACCACAGTCTTGCCATGTGCCATGCACTGTTCTAAGCCCTTCATTTGATCCTCCCAGCCATCCTATAAAACAGGTTCCCTTATTATCCCCAGATGAGAAAGTCAAGGCACAAGAGGTGGAATGACTGCTGTGTTCACACAGCTAGGTTGTAGCATCCAATAAATATTTGTAAATGAATGAATTTTCATTTTCTGTTCCTTAAAAGGGAGCTCATTGGCCCTGACTACTAGACTAACTGAACCATACTTCCAACAGAACAGATCAAATGCACATGATAACTGGGTACTCACCAGCTGGGCAGTTACTACACAGATCCTGCAAGGATCTTGTCCTCTCAAAGTTCAGGACCAGCAACAGAGTGGCTACTATGTTGTAACAGCTGTTTCCCATGATGAAATCTGGTACAGGTATGATACTAGCAAAGCTGATTCCAAGAGAATTTTAATCAAATTAGCTGGTCTCACAAATGTCACTCTGCAAAAGGTAAACATTTCCAAGGAAAGGTGGTTTCTCCTTTCAAAATTATCTATTTGCAATCATTACCTATACAATTCTACAAGAGGAAAACTCAGGGTTTTTCAGGAACAATTAATGATGGAATATTGTGGAAAAGTAGCAAATTCATAGAAACCACTACAACAAGGCAGGCATGATTAAACACACTGCTTTGTGCACGTTTGCCAAAGTCTGAGGGTGCATTTTCCATCATGTTCTGCCGAAATGCGGAAATAACAATAGCCAGAACTTTTGGGGACTTTCATAGGTACTTTGCAGTACCATCCAGCAATAATGCCAATTACTTACTGCCCCTGGAATAAACTCCTTACAAACAGAATCTGTCAGGGGCATCAGACAATTCAGTTCAAGAAGAAGCTATCACAAAATCACTCTTCCCCCTTTAGCTGAACACCTAACTACTAACAGGTGGAAAGACCTCCCTGTTCAACTCACTAACACATTTTCTTCAACACAGACATGTTCTGAGATGTGAAGCTTGTATGGTAACAAAACTCAGGAGTGAAAAACTCTCTTCAGGCCAAGTTATTGATGTTTATTTAATGGGCTATTGAAGAGAAGTTATTATAGATTAGAAGGAGAAAAAGTCTAGAAATGGGCAAAGGGAGCAAAAGTTCTATCCTCACCCCCTCTCAGTGCCCCCACCCACTCCCCCAAATGGACAGACCTTGCGATCTCAGGGCTGCTGGAGAACTTTCCACTGCTTGGTCTTCAGGCTTCTGCAGCTCAGGAGGGGGAGGACTTCAGGTCGAACAGGAGTGGATGACTCAGCTGGGGGCGGGGTCTCGTAGGAAATTCCCATCACCGCTCTGTAACAGCTCTGTGAAATCGTTCATTTCACATCTGCTGACCCCAAAATCCCCTAGAGCCCCTGTCCCTGCCTGATAATGGCATTTTAAATTGCTTCTTGGAAGCTGCTCTCTACTGTCAGGATGTGTCATAGCTGATGTAGGGAAAAGGATTTTGTCCCTTAACACAGCTCTCCAGGACAAACCATTTAGCATGTCCCTAAAATACTGGATTTGAGATTAGAGGGACGAAACCAACTTCAAAATAATGATCAGCATTTTGCCATATGCGGTCCCTTAACTCCACAGTTACTGTAAAGCAATAGCTGTCATTACTTGAGCATAGCCGACGTCCGAGGCGTCAGAGGTGCACTGTGGTGAATACACACTATCCTCGAAAGAACCCTAGAACTTTGTATGACTGCTGTTGTTACTGGGGGAACACTATGCAAATGAGGAAACTGGGGCCGCAGGTGGAGTCAGAGCGTCAACAGGACAGGGAGCCTGCGGGGTTGGAACCCATGTCTGCCTGGTCCCTTAGGAAGGAGGGAAATGGAAAAAGGGGAAGCACAGCAGTCGCACGGCAAGTGAATGACCAGGACTTGATTCGGGGAAGCTGAGAGCTAGAAGGGATTTTCAGAAAACTATGATTTCAATTTTTCTTAAAAAATAAATAAATAAAGGAGAAAGAGACCAGGCGTGGTAACTCATGCCTATAATCCCAACACTTGGGAGGCTGAGGTAGGTGGATCACCCGAGGTCAGGAGGTTTAGACCAGCCTGGCCAACATGGCAAAAACCTGTCTCTACTAAAAGTTAGCTGGTGGGGGGAGGTGGGGGGTGGGGGGTGGGGTGGCGGTGGACCCCTGTAATCCCAGCTACTGAGGCTGAGGCAAGAGAATCGCTTGAACCTGGGAAGTAGAGGTTGCAGTGAGCCGAGATCACGCCACTGCACTCCAGCCCGGGCCACAGAGCAAGACTCCACCTCAAAAAAAAAAAAAGGAAGAAGAGGAAGCGGAGGGCAGAAGTGCAGAAAACAGAAGGAAAAAAAAAGAACAGTAAGAAGAGAGGAGGAGGATAAGGAGAAAGAAGAGGGAGAGGAGGAGGAAAATAAAGAGAAAAGGAAGAGAAGGAAGAAGAAAAGAACAAAAAGAGAAGGGGAGGAGGAAGAGGAAGAGGAAGAATGAGGAGGAGAAAGAATGAGAAGGAAGAATGAGGAGAAGGAAAAAGAGGTGTTTCTGGAGAAGGAGGAGGAGGAGGAGGAGGAGGAGGAGGAGGAGGAGGAGGAGGAGGAGGAGGAGGAGGAGGAGGATGCTCCAGGCTGTAGATGAACCTGCCCATCACTGAGCAGCTGGAGAACCTCAGGAAAACCAGGGGAACTGTGGCTGGAGCAGGCGTGGGCTGGGGAATGACATCGAGAGTAGTTCGGGCTGTCGCCCCGCCCCGCGGTACCCAGCACGAGCTCTCGGGTCAGAACAGCAAAACGCCGAGCGACTCGGTTCAGCGCGGAGATGTGGCCTTTGTGCCACCGCCTGCAGGCAGAGGGACTCGGAGATCAGGCTGCAGAAGCAGAAGGCAGACAGGAAGGAGGAGGAACCCAAGGAGCCTTGTGGCTTCGTGTCCCACCCTCCTGCCCTTGGCCCGCGTGCCTGGAGCCAGCCCCACCGCGCCCGCGTTTCCTCCTGCGGGACCCTTGGCCCTGGGTCTGCAGCGGGTCCTGCGGAGCTTCCTCCCCTCAGGCAGCCTGTCTCCCGCTGGCCACTCCCGCGGGTGAGCGGGTTACCTGTTCCCAGTGATTTTTATTCACTTTGCTCTCTCCCGTCTCATGTTCCCCATTCTCCTGCCTCAGTTGTGTAACCTTGAGCAAATTTCTCAACCTCCCTAACTCCGTTTTTCCAAGTACATCTTATAGGTACAGTAACACCATAGGTCTTCCTCGTGAGTGAGGATTAATAAATGAGACAATGAGCGTGAAATACTTAGCTCAATGCTTGGCACATAGTTATCAAGAAAGTAGGAATTGTTAATGATCAGACTTACTGGTTTGAAATGTTCCTTCCCTATCTCCCACACCGATCATCAGCAGAGCGGCCACAGGGCAGGTCATGACAGAAAAGGAGAAAAATGCATGAGTTGCCTACAAAATGTGTTCCCAAATACTGACGGTCATCTGAGAGTCATCTTACCTGTGACATCTGTGGGATCCCTCCTTGCCCCACTTTGGCAGAAATTGGCTGAATGTGAGAGTGTCACACCATGAAAATCAGACTGCTGATCCCCTCCTAACACTTTGAAAGTCACCATCTAACCAAGTAACCCCCTCGTTTACATGTGGTACTCTGTTTAACATTGCAGTGTGACATTTAACTGGGCCGTATTTCATTTAACTAAATGACACTCACTAGTCTATGTTTTGGACGTTCTGTAGGCAGAGACATTACTTCCTCTGAAAGTGACATATTTAGTTTCCCAGCACAGTAATTAGCTCACTGTCTCAGGCTTTTATGCCAGTAACGTAAGAGTCTTTACTGAGCTAAAAGAGTCTCAACATTAGTTTTGCCAGCCCACAGTTAAACAAAATCAACCACTTCAGAATTATGCTACTGAAGGCTATGCTCAACTTTATTCAGGTGTTTAAAAAATTCATGGCCGGGAACAGTGGCTCACACCTGTAATCTCAGCACTTAGGGAGGCTGAGGTGGGAGGATCGCTTGAGCCCAAGATTTCAAGACCATCTGGGCAAGATGCCCAGACCCTGTCTCTACAAAAAATCCAAGAATCAGCTGGGTTTGGTGGCATGCGCCTGTGGGTCCAACTACTCGGGAGGCTGGGATGAGAGGATTGCTTGAGCCTGGGTGGTCGAGGCTGCAGTCAGCCATGTTTGCACCCGTGCACTCCAGCCTGGGCAACAAAACTAGACTGTCTCAAAAAAAAAAAAAAAAAAAAAAGGAAGAAAGAAAGAATTCATCTTACTGCATGCATTTTTGTGTGGTATAAAATCATCATAGTAAGCTAAGGCAAATTATATAGTTAACCAGATATACATACTATCTAAGCTAGGCAAAGGTGTAATACTCTTTTGGTATAATTTTCATTTGCTTTATAATATATATCATATTGCTTTATCCGTTGTAGCCCTGTAATCTTTCAAATGCAATGATGTTTTTCTATTCCATAAAACCATTTCAAACTAAATCAGAGATGACACCAACAAGACAGCAACACGTTAGCCGTATTAATAATACGTTTCATTACATCCTAAACATCTCATTCTAAACCAAGAAATAGGCCGGGCATGGTGGCTCACACCTGTAATCCCAGCATTTTGTGAGGCCAAGGTGGATGGATCACAAGGTCAGGAGATCAAGACCATCCTGGCTAACACAGTGAAACCCCGTCTCTACTAAAAATACAAAAAAAAAAAAAAAAAATTTTAACTGGGCGTTGTGGTGGGCGCCTGTAGTCCCAGCTACTCGGGAGGCTGAGGCCGGAGAATGGCGTGAACCCAGTAGGCGGAGCTTGCAGTGAGCCAAGATCGTGCCACTGCATTCCAGCCTGGGCTACAGAGTGAGACTCTGTCTCAAAAAATAAATAAATAAACAAACAAATCAAAAAATAGATTTTATTTCACTTTGATTGACTATAGGTCTAATCTTGAATATCTCAAGCAGCTAAATACTTTGAGGCTAAATAGCATGAAGGCCCAACAATTCTCAACAAGATAAAGAAGACATTTAGAAAGAGAAAGCCCTCAAAATAAGCTTCCTATAAAATATTCTTCCGTCCTTTCAGGGCGCATCTTAGAGCGAATCTCATCTGTGGGATATTCACTATTTACACTTGTTATCTGCCCGAAAGAGCTATTCTTTCAAGATTCAATGTCGCCACCCCTACCCCAAACACCAAAACTAGTAGTCACTATCAGACATACCTGGTGCTTGTGATGTCAGTAGGTGTTCTGAGGCCTGGGAAGGAGTACATTGTTTTTAAACTTGGAACAAAGAAAATGAGTAGGAAATCGAAGAGGAGGCAGAGTAAGGAGAAGGAAGTACGAATCATAAAGAGAGGCAGGTGTCAGAGGTCGTCGACTTTGCTCACCTTTCCTCGTTGTTCTGCCCTTTCTCTAGGTGGCATCCACTCATATAGTAAGACTTATCGATAGTTGTCTCCAACTTCAGACCACCTCCAACACTGTGCAATCCCCAGGACAAGAGTACAAACAGAGGCCTGCTTACCATGTGTCCAAATATTTAGAAATTGTTGGCCGGGCGCGGTGGCTCAAGCCTGTAATCTCAGCACTTTGGGAGGCCGAGGCGGGTGGATCACGAGGTCAGGAGATCGAGACTATCCTGGCTAACATGGTGAAACCCCGTCTCTACTAAAAATACAAAAAACTAGCCGGGCGTGGTGGCGGGCGCCTGTAGTCTCAGCTACTTGGGAGGCTGAGGCGGGAGAATGGCGTGAACCCAGGAGGCGGAGCTTGCAGTGAGCCGAGATCACGCCACTGCACTCCAGCCTGGGAGCACAGCGAGACTCCGTCTCAAAAAAAAAAAAAAAAAAAAAGAAATTGTTCATCAATCCAAATACGCTGTTAAGTATGTTCTGTCCAGAGTAGAGACACAAACACACACACACAATGAACACAGAGGTGCGTCTGTGACTGGGTGTCTGGTGCATGGTGCTGGCATAGGGACGCATAACTCGGCTCCGTCTGCTCTCTGGACCCACACTGCCAGGCCTGGGTGAAGACTCCCCCACATCACTAGATCCATATCCTTGAAACTCCACTTGAGGCTGACTCTGTGTTGTGAGGGTTGTGGGCTGTGCTGTTGCCTGCAAGGACAGCAGCCATAGGTGTGAGCCATAGGAGTACCAGGCAGACAAACGGCAAGTGGATTTGTCAAATCCATCTCAGATACT